GACCAATGTCTTTTTTTTTTTCTCTAGTGGTTTTACAATTTTAGGTGTTATGTTTAAGTCTTTAGTCCATTTTGAGTTGATTTTTGTGTATAGGGTGAAATAAGGGTCCAATTTCATTCTTCCACATGTGGATAACTGATTTTTCCAGCACTATTTATTGAATAGATTGTTCCTTTAGTCTGTTGTGTGATCGTCCTACCTTTGTTGAAGATTCGTTAACTACATGTGGACTGGGCTCTCCATGCAATTTTATTGGTCTGTATATCTGTTTTTATGCCAGTGCCATACTGTTTTAACTACTGTAGTTTTGTGATATGTTTTGAAATCAGGAGGTGTGATATCTTTAACTTTCTGCTTAAACTTGCTTTAGCTATTAAGGGTCTTTGGTTGCTTCTGTATTAATTTTAGGATTTTTTTTTGGTCTTAGTCCATATTGTATTGGTATAGCAGAATACCTGAGACTGAATAATTTATAAAGAAAAGAAATTTATTTAACTCACAGTTCTGTAGGCATGGAAGTTCAACAGCATGACCCTGGCTTCTGGCAAGGATTTTCTTGCTGCGTTGTAACATGGTAGAGAGTGTCAAAGGGTAAACAGACACATGCAGAGAGAGGAACAGCAGGAGGAAGAAACCCACATGATGGCAACCCAGTCTCACAGGATGTAATCCATTATCGAGTCCACTCTGGCACGAGAAATAATTCATCCATTACCCTAAGAACTGCACCATGGCATTCATGAGGGATCCACCCCCGTGGCCCAAGCACCTCCCACCAGACCCCAGCTCTCAACATCACCACACTGGGGATTAAATTTTAGCATGGCTTTAGATGGGGACCAACTCAAACCATAGCACTATTTCTGTGAAAAATGGCATTTAATTTTTAATAGAGATTGCACTGATTATGTAGATTGCTTTGAGTAATATGGACAGTTGAGCAATATTAATTCTTTCAGTTCATTAACACAGGATGTGTTTCTATTTAGTTGTGTCTTCCTCAGTTTTTCAGTAATGTTTCATAGTTTTCGTTGTACAACTCTCTCACCTTATTTAAATTTATTCCGAAGTGTTTTATTTTTATGATGCTATTATAAAATAGGTTTTGTTCTTTGATATCATTTTCAGATAATTCATTGTTGATTTATGGAAATTCTACTGATTTTTGTGTTTCTTTTGTGTCTTCAACTTTACTAGATTCATTTATTCTGTTTTTTGGTGAAATCTTTAGGACTTTCTATATAAGAGATCATGTTACCTGCAAACAATTTAACTTCCTCTTTTCCAATTTGAATATCTTTTCTTGCCTAATTGCTCTAGCTAGGACTTCCAAAATTATGTTGGATAGAAGTGGTTTGCTAGTATTTTGTTGAGAATTTTTGCATCTGTTTTCATCAGGTGTATTGGCTTTTGTAATTTTCTCGTAGTGTTCTTGTCTGACTTTGAGATCAAGGAAGTCCTGGCAGTATAAAATGGATTTGGAAGGATTCTCTCCAGATTTTTGAAAGAGTTTGAGAAGGGTTAGTATTAGTTTGTCTTTAAATGTTTGATAGATTTTAGTAATGAAACTATTGGTTCCTGTGCTTTTCTTTGATGCACGACCATTTGTTACTGATCTAGTTTCTTTACTCCTTACTAGTCTGTTCAGAGTTTCTATTTCTTCATGATTCAGTCTTAATAGGTTGTATGCTTCTAAGGTTTTATCAATTTCTTTAAAATTTTCCAATTTGTTAGCATATAGTTGTTTGTAAGTCTCTTATGATCCATTGTATTTCTTTGGTGTCTGCTGTAATATCTCCTCTTTCATGTATCATTTTATTTAATTCAGTTTTTACCCATTTTCTTTTAGTCTATGTAAGGATTGTTAATTGTGTTTATATTTTCAAATAACCAACTCTTAAGTTTTATTAATCTCTTCTGTATATTTTTCTGACTGACCTCTATTTCATTAATTTCTCCTCTGATCTTTATTACTTTCTTCCCTCTGCTAACTTTGGGCTTAGTTTGCCCTTCTTTTTCTGGTTTCTTCTGGTGCAATATTAGATTGTTTATTTGGGACATTCTTCACTTTTAAGGTAGGTATTTTTTTGCTGTAACGTCCTTCTTAGAAGTGCTACATCTTTGTAAGTTTTGTTATGTAGAATTTTCATTTGTCTAAAGATGTTTTAAAATTACCCTTTTAATTTCTTAATTTACTCATTGATTATTCAGGAGCATGTTATTTAATTTCTGTATATTTCTTATTTTTTCAAAATTCCTTTTGGTATGCATTTCCAGTTTGATACCATTGCCAGAAAAGATAATTTATTTAATTTCAGCCTTAATAAATTTGTTAGCACTTGTTTTGTGGTCTAATATACTCTGCCAGATTCTTAGTAATGTTTAGATATGGTGGGAAATAAAAAGATTTAAATTTTTTTTTTTTTTTTTGAGTTGGAGTCTCACTCTGTCGCCCAGACTGGAGTGCAGTGGCCACTCCTGGCCACCGCAGCCTTGACCTGCTGGGCTCTGGCGATCCTTCCGCCTCAGCCTTCTGAGTAGCCGGAATTACAGGCATGTGCTACCATGCCCGGCTGATTTTTTTTTTTTTTGATTGTAGAGATGAGGTCTCACTGCCCAGGCGGGTCTCGAACCCGCGGGGTCAGGCAATCCACTCACCTCAGCCTTCCAAAGGTGTGGGATTACAGGCTGAGCCACCGAGCCCGGCTTGATTTAAAATTTTTCATCATGTATATTTCTGTTAGCTTTGTTGCCCAATAGACATACATTGCTGTTTTGTAATTTTGTAAAAGTTATCAAAAAGTGCCTGTGATATATCTAGTAAATCGTACAGAAACCACATCTTTATCTAATTTCTGTTCAGTTTTTATACTACAGTATACTGCCTTTCTGTGTTACCTTTTAGATCAGTAATCTTTTTGTTGTGTATAGCACTTGCTTTTCATTTAGAGGCAAATCATAAACTCTTATTAAAATAGATTCATAGAGGCAGTGAATTTTCAGCATAGCATCTTATAATTAGATATTTGTATGAGGATTTATGGTAATGTCTTCAAGTAGTTTAAAATATGAAATCTTTCATCTTGAGAGGTACTACTGTAGCACATGGGTCTAGCATAATGACTGTGCACTTGCTGGCTTTGTTTTCAAAAGTTGTGCAGGGCATGCATATTCAAACCAAGAACCATAGATTTATATGGGCTACCCACTTCTTTCTCTGTCGTTCTCATTCTTAGTAGCCACTTTTTGCTCATCTGGAAAAGAAGGTTATTAAGTTTGTCACACTCCCCATGTAGCTCTCTGCTAAGTAGAACTTTTGATTTCTAGATTCCCTTAGTATTATCTTTCATTGTAGATAGTAACTAGACTGGGACCAAATGGTTCTGAACTGTGGCATTTGGAAGAGATTGTTAAGAATCACCATTGAACTGGCTAATCTCTGATTTTTAAAAAATAATGTTCTTTTTTTTTCTAACATAGAGTTAACACTCCAGTTTGGAGTGTTGGTTATAAAAGTTTATTCTGATTCGGGGTTTTTTTTTTTTTTTTTTTAACTGTTAGAAACAGTTTAATAGAAGGATTCATAGTTATCCTAATATTTTATTTGAAATATTTTTAAAAGTGAGACCTTGCAAACAACATGAATATTTCTGACTAAACTCTTAAATGATCACTTTTATGCTAATTTTCTGTTTTCTTTTTGCTTTTATTTGAAATAATAGACTGAAACAGGTCCTTTGTATTTCTTAACTTTGCAGGTACAATTGAAGGTCTATATACCTAGAGAAAAAAATACAGACTCAGGATTTTAACATGAAGATTTTAAGATTTTTTTCTAAGATTCTCTTGTGGCAACTTAAAATTAATACCGCTTCCTTCCTTGTTTTGTTTATATTTTCACCTTTGAATTCTTCATGTAAAAGTGTGTTGAGGGGATTATGCCGGGAGAGCTAATGCTGCTGTGAAAGTGTTTTTCCTTTTTTTTTTGAGTTAGAGCTGACTCCCTTGTGGTGTAGTCTAGGCCATTACAGTACTCGTATTTTATGTCTCAGAAAGACAGTAAGTTCTTCTTTGCCAGGTGTTGGGCTAAACACTTCATATTCATTTTCTCATTTAGTCATCACAACTATCTTTGGAAATAGATAAAATTATCATCTCTGTTGACAGATGAGGAAACAAAGGCTTAGAAAGGTTAGAATCTGTATAACTCGTGAGTTGCAGAACTAGGAGGTAAACTTAGATTTGTCTTACTCAGGGTCCCATGCCCTTAATTTCTATGTCAGCCCATCTCCCAGGGCACTCCAGGAAGAAAATTTTTTCACTGTGGGCTATAAAATGCTTTATTTTATTTTCCTTATTTTCTTATTTCTCCATCTTTCCTAATTTTTTTCATCCTCTTCTGATGGAAATGGTTATGAAAGAGGCAAAAAACCTGTTAAATGTTTAGTCTTGTATGAATATGCCTCAGTCTAAATGGACATTATTTGTTCCTCTGTCATTGTTTTTGGTAATGCCCTTGTAAAAAAGTCTTCTTCATCAGTTGAATTTGTCACTGTTTGCTTACATTGGAGTTGTAATTGATTATATTCTTAATATTTCTAATGCCATAATATCTTAAATAAGTGAGAGTAAATGAACGGTATTTTAAAATATAACTTCTGCTAATCTAATGTAATAAAATTTTATAACTATAAACCTGTCTACATTCCTAAAAAAAAAAAATCTTACCTTCAAGAACATATTACTTTATGACTTTTGGTATGCTTCAATATTCAAATCTCTGGGTGTAAATGTTAGCGCTTTTACAGTTCGATGGTAAAGAAAATGCCCAGCAAACACAAAATTAAAGAAAAAAAAGAGTGGACATATATGCACCTGATTATTCTTTTGGGTGCACATGTAGTTTTGATAGTAAAAATGCTTTATGTTGCTTTTCCTTTTCATTCTTAATTAGCTTTTATTTGATAGTGATATTTGTTTTTTCTTTGTGTTCAAAGGGCAGCCATTCTACAAAAGTGGAAGCTGTGGTGAGAACTCTGATGAAAATACAGCTTAGAGATCCAGGGGCTAAAGCACTTGTTTTCTCAACGGTATAATCAACATTTTCAACCTCAATATTAACTCAGACTGCTCTGTCTATAGTCATTTTATAGCTGAGAACTAATTTTTAATGTTTACCATCATATAGTTGAGATTTAGAATTATTCTTAATTTTTTTTTCTATTCCATTTTTTCCAAATCCCTAAGATAAAATTATTCTTAGAGAAATTTGATGACACTTCACACTTGTTGTAGCTATGGTTCAGGGTATTATGTTAACTTCATTTAGGATTTTCGTACTTTAAAAATTGGAACCTTGAAAGGCTCTTCACAAATAAATTTGGTTAAGAAAAAAAGTTAAAATAATCAACCAAATAAAGCACTGAGTAAAAACTTTGGTTTTTATTTTTGAAAGATAACCACAGACAGAATATTATTTATTTTCTATTATTTATCTTAATTCCGTTTTCAGAGATGCTCATAGTATTTGCCCTATCGTTAAGCCAGCAAATGGTACTATATCTGAGGGTTTTGTTTTTGTTACTTAACTCAAATGTAAAAGTTATTTTGATTTAGTACCTCTCAAATCTCCCTAGATAATAACTATGTGTAAATATTGGTTTTCTTGTTTTATGTGTTCTAGTGGCAAGATGTATTAGATATTATTTCCAAAGCTCTCACTGACAACAACATCGAATTTGCTCAAATCAGTCGCGTTAAGACATTTCAGGTATGTCAAAATTTTAGTCCTGTTTTTTGTAGTAGATTTAGTGGCAAATTGAAACTGCTATTAACTAGCTTACTTATATTTATTGTCTTGTAACATATAAGCCACATAAGCAGAGTTGGAATTTTTTTTTTTTTTGAGTTGGAGTCTCACTCTGTCACCCAGACTGGAGTGCAGTGGCCGCTCCCAGCCACCGCAGCCTCGACCTGCTGGGCTCCGGCGATCCTTCCGCCTCAGCCTTCCAAGTAGCCGGAATTACAGGCATGTGCTACCACGCCCAGCTGGTTTGTTTTGATTTATTGTAGAGATGAGGTCTCGCTGCCCAGGCGGGTCTCGAACCCGCGGTTTTAGGCAATCCACTCACCTCAGCCTCCCAAAGGTGCGGGATTACAGGCTGAGCCACCAAGCCCAGCTTTGAATTTTTGATTAATTATAAAACCAAACAGAGAAAATGTAGGTATTTTCAGTCTATTCTATTATACCCGTAAGACCATCTTTTTTTTTAAAGCTCTTCTGACTTGAGGCTCTTTTTTTAATATGGGAAAAGATTGCCTGTGATATACCTTATGAATGGACAGGGGCCTTATGCCCCAGGGATTAGGTTCAAAAGACACTGTGTCAGGCAAAACTGCATATGGTCACAATTTTTTTGCATCACATCACACTCAGCACAGTGACAGGTACATACCCTAAGATACACACACACAAAGACCAAATGAAAATTTAGCAGATTCATGTCTCTTATCTCACATTCACTTTAGCACATTATTTCTCTTTTTTTCCTCTAAGCTCATATAGTTTATTTTACATGCATCACGTGTCTATCTTGTGATTTTACTATGTATTATAAATAACGAGAGCTTATGTGATACTTTTTCTCATAATTAAAGTGAAGCAACAAGTTACATTTTCTAAAACTGATAATTTTGGGTTTAACTTTCTTAGTTGTTACATTTCACAATGACCTAATGAATACCATTGGACATCTTTAAAGTGAGCTATAACATACTGCTCTTATTTTAACTGACATAGCTAAAATTAAAATGTACTTTCTTTTTTAGGAGAACCTTTCAGCATTTAAACATGATCCCGAAATCAATATTTTGCTGCTGCCCCTGCACATAGGTTCTAATGGATTAACTATCATTGAAGCAACTCATGTTCTCTTGGTGGAGCCCATATTGAACCCTGCCCATGAGCTTCAGGCAATAGGGAGGGTGCACCGAATTGGACAGACAAAGTAAGGATAAAATTAGCATCACTAACATTTGCTTCAGTTTTGTAAGGCATCAATTCAGTACTTAAACTCTTCATTTATGTTCAATGTAGTCTATTCAGTTTAAATTAATGCCTTATGTATTAAATTTTAAGCATTATTATATGACCAAATAGCATGAGATTTTCAACCTTCCCTCCTTCAAGCAGCAAACCCCCACATGTTTCCAAATTTTTGTCTTCTCTTTCACAAAAACCTGATCACTGCATCAAGAAAGCTTTTTAGAAATATTTAAGACAGTTGCAAAGTTGAAGCCATCCCTAATTACTTTGGGAAGTATGGAATTTTGGTGGTCTAAAGTAGATCTGTGTTTAAAAGAAAACATAACCTCATACACAACTGAAAACAAATGTCTCCTTTTAAAATTCTTACTCTTAGGAAGAGGCATCTGCCTACATCAGCTCTTAAAAGATCATTAGATTTAGTTAATAGGCCAAAGTAAACATATAATGAATATTATGTGGTATATGTTACTTTTATTGAAATATCAGAATGGACAATTATCTTTGATAAGGTCTCCTAGATGTGTTTACCTTTTGGATGTTAGACATGTTGAATGTTTTTTTTTTTTTTAAACCACGCATCTATACTATCTATACACATCTACACTCATTAAATCAGTATTTATTGAGTACCTACTGTATGTCAAGCATATACTAAATACTGAAGAGTCTAACTGAATAAGACGTAATCTTTTCCTCCAAGGTGGTCACTATGTAGTACAAGAAACATGACTTGAAATATTGCAGTTGAGAATATGCAAATATATAAAAACAGAAGTACTATGTTAACAAAAGAAGGCAGTGATCACTTGTGCCCTAGACAGCTGGGGAAGATTTTATTATGTTATAATTATTCTGGACAGAATAATTATTCCAGAGTTGGACTAGAAAGAGAGTTGTATAGGCAAAAACACATTGGTGATAAACAGCATGACATTTCTGGGGACTGTAAGAATTTGGGAATTGCTAGAATTTAAAATATGAGGAAGGAAGTGACAGAAGATGAGGTCTTTCATGTCTTATTCAAAAACATGAGCTGCAGCAATTGAGAGAATAAATGAAGAGTTTTAATTTTAAGCAGAGGAGACTAAACAAACTTTTAACAAAACAGAACAGAGTAGCATAACTGTAATAAATGCAGGCTTGTTCTAAAGTACCACAAGGTGACACTTAAAATACAATTGCATTTTATTTGTTTTATGTTGCTTTTGTTCTGTATTTTTAAGTATTGATTTCTTGTCCTACCAATGTTTTTCTAAAGGATAGACTGGATTCATCTCAGGTTTAAAGCCACAAGTAAAAGGCAATACAGGACTACCCAACAGTCTTACTATGCTTCCCTAGTAAATCAATTTTATTTTACTTTCTGAGGAGACTATCATAGGTCTTTTCATCACCTTCTTCCCCACTGATGGTGATCTTGCCTCATACAGGGGAAACAGATACAGCCGTATTAGAAGTACCTCAGATGAACAGTCTGCCTTCATCAATACCCACATATTACAGTAGATTTTTATGGAGCACTTTCTGTGTGCCATGCCACCACTGTTCTAGGAACTTGAAATTTCTTTGCGGAGCTTAATTCTAGTAGTAAGTGGTCGGTAGAGAGACAGTGGTAAACAGTAAGCATAATTAATCAAATATAGACTATATGAGAAGCTGGTACAGTAAAGCAGGGTGAGGAAGATTAAGAATACAGATGGTTCGACAGGAAGGCATAGAGGACCTTATCGAGAACATAATATGTAAGCAAAGATTTGAAAGAGATGGGAAAGTTAGTCATGCAGATCTTGGGAAAGAATGTTTACAATTAGACAATAAATGCAGTGCGAAGGCCCCAAGTCAGTAATATGGTATGTTTGAGGAATAGCAAGAAGCCAGAGTTGCATAAGTGGAGTGAGTAAAGGGGAGAAAAGAAGGAATGTCAGAGGACTTGGGGGTAGGAGAATTACAATGGACCCAGAAGGTCACTGGGAGGGCAATGTTGCTTTTACTCTGTGTGAGATAGGGAGCCTTTCAAGACTCCCTTAAGTTTTGAAAGGATCCTTCTGAGTGCTATGATAAAGCAGGAGTGAAGGGGCTCATGAGAGAATAGAAGTAGGAAGAGCTCTGGAAGCCATTGCAAACATCCTAGTGATTGGTGAGGGTGATTCAACTATGGTACAGCAGTGCAGTTGTGAGAAGTAGTCAGGTTCTAGATATGGAAATACAGATATTTAGAAATGTATTTTTTGAGTCAGAGTCTCACTCTGTCGCCCAGCCTTGAGTACAGTGGCATGCTTGTGGCCACTGCAACCTTCACCTGCTGGACCCAAGTGATTCTTCCACCTTAGCCTAGAATTCACACCTAGCTAATTTTTTTTTTTTTTTTTTATTGTAGAGACAAGGTTTTGCCAAGTTGCCCTGGCTGGTCTCAAACCCCTGGGCTCAGGCAGTCCACTCGCCTCTACTTCCCAAAGTGCTGGAATTACAGGGGTGATCCACCACACCTGGCTGTTGCTATATTTGGAAAATAGAAACAATAGTAGTTATGGACAGATTAGACATGGGTGTGACCCTGGATGATTAGAAGGATGGAGTAGCCCTCAGCTGAGATGGGGAAGACTATAAGGCAGAAAAGATTTGGTGAGGAGCTTTGTGCAATGACAGTATCATAGCCAATGAGGTGTTATCCAAGGCATTATTATTGCTGATTGAAAACTTTTCCCAATACCCCACCATGACAACTTGAAGTTGGCACTGGCAATTTTTGACAGTCTTTACAGAGACTGAATTTTGTTGGTTAAAAAAAGCTGAGAAGGCCGAGTGAGGTGACACAGGCCTGTAATCCCAGCACTTTGGGAGGCCGAGTTGAGAGGATTGCCTGAGACCAGTGGTTCGAGACCAGCCTGCACAACTTGGCGAAACGTCGTCTCTACAGTAAATAAAAAAAATTAACTGGGCATGGTGACACGTGCCTGTAGTTTCTACTACTTGGAAGGCTAAAGCAGTAGGATCGCCTGAGCCCAGCAGGTCAAGGCTGTGATGACCGTGTGCAGCATGCCACTGCATTCCAGCCTGGGTGACAGAGTAAAACTCCAACTCAAAAAGAAAAAAAAAAGATTTAGTGAAGTTTACTTTAAATGTAAGTTTGAAATGTTTAATAAAAATGGAGATTCTATTCTGTAATTGATGTACAAGTTCAGAGTTCAGGAGAGAAGTCTGAGCTAAGACACACATTTGGAAGTCACCAGCATATACTGGTGTCTTCAAGTCATGAGACTGAATGAGTTTACCTACAGGGTGAGTTTAGATAGAAAAAAGGACCACAAACTAAACTTCAGGACATCAGAGTGAAGGGCCCCAGGAGAAGAAAAGTAACCAGCAAAGGTATAAAGATCAGACAATGAGGTAGAAAGAAAACTGAAATACAAAGTGTTGTAGGAGCCAAATAAATGTACCTCAAGGCAGAGGATGTAGTCAGCTGTATGAAGTGCTATGAAAATGTCCAGGAGAATGAGGATCTAAATTGATCGTTAGGTTCAACAGCATGGAGAGCAAAACCAGCTTTGGTAAAGTGGTGGGGGTGACAGCATGATCTGAGTGTAAGAGATAATAGGATTTCGTGTATTTCTTATTTAACAAACATTTATATAGCAAAGAGAGGTTAAGTAACTTGTTCATGGTCACACACCTAATAAAAGTGGTGGCAGGTGTCAGACACAGCTGTTCTGCTATCACACCGTCCTTTAACCACAGTGCACCACTGCTGCTGTGTAGCCACGAAGACGAGTATTTTGAGTTTGGATGCAGAGAAGCGCAGACAAAAGGAAGAGAATGAGGTTGAGATCAAGAAAGGTTTTGATTTTCTTTTCTTTTCTTTCAAATGGGTGAATTATTAAGACAGTGATTCATTAGAGACAGAGAAATAGTGAAGCAAGAGGGGAGAATGCTGGGACAGAGTCCTCGAAGAGACAGGAAGATAGGGGATCTGGCACGGAAGTGGAGGGGTTGGTCTTAGGTAGGCGCATGAATTGTCATCTAGTAATAAGCAGGAAGGTGCTATATCTACCTTCCCTTTTATTACAACAGAAGAAGTGTCCCTTTTCTTTCAAAAACCACCTATTTGTCCTGGATCCCATCTCTTCTCATATTCTCAAGGAATTTCCTCCTGTCCATGTTGATTATCCCTTAACTGAAATGCTTGGGGCTAGAAGTGTTTTAGATTTCCAGTTTTTTCAGATTTTAGGATATTTGCATATACCTCGAGATATCATAGGGATAGGATCCCAGTCTGAACACGAAATTCATTTATGTTTCATATACACCTTATAATATAGCCTGAGGGTAATTATATACAATATTTTTAATGATTTTGTGCATGAAACAAAGTTTTGACTGTGACTCACCATATGAGATCAGGTGTTGTATATTTCACTTAAAAGTGCTTCCTGTTGGCACTAAAAAGTTTCAAATTTTGAAGCATTTTGGATTAGGGATGTTCAACCTGTCATACATTACTGCATAAATATGAATTACTATTATCCATCTTCAGACATAAAACAAACTCTTCCCTACATCCTTCATTCATCTCCACTTCCTTATTCATTCTTGTCAACCTTTCTGGTTGATTTTTTTTTTCCTCACCTTTTCTGAAATGAGGCTTATAACATTGTTAGTGACCTATTTCTTGCCAGTGTTTCCAGTTTATTTTCTCTGCCTGTACCCCTTAGATGAGTTCTTCTAGAATCAGGTCTTTAACATTTGTACATGAATGACTCTCAAGTGTATATCCCCCAGCCCAGATATACCCTTATGGCTCCCACCCCAGGGTCATCTGTTTAGTTCTCTCCCTGTAGATTTATCTCTGGATTCTAAGCCTTCCCTTGGATCCCTGTCCAATAGGTATTTAACATGGACAAAACAAAACTACATTCCTTCTGCACCCTCACCTCGCTCCCAAGCATTCCCCATCTTATTGTGTGTCACTGTCATCTGTAGCTGCTCAGATCAGCTGCTCCATATTTCTCTTTCTACATCTCACATCCCAGTCATCTTTTATGTCTTGTCAGCTCTGCCTCTAAAAGATACTCCAAATCTACTTGAGAACTGTCTCCACTGATACAGCCGTGTACAGTTGCTTTCTTACCTGGTTAACTACAGGATTTTTTTTTTTTGTTATTTTTTGTTTTTGTTTTTTTTTTTGAGTTGGAGTCTCACTCTGTCGCCCAGACTGGAGTGCAGTGGCCGCTCCCAGCCACCGCAGCCTCTACTTGCTGGGCTCCGGCGATCCTTCCGCCTCAGCCTTCCAAGTAGCTGGAACTACAGGCACATGCTACCACAGCCGGCTAATTTTTTGTTTTATTGTAGAGATGAGATCTCACCAAGTTGCCCAGGCGGGTCTCGAACCCGCGGGCTCAGGCAATCCACTCACCTCAGCCTCCCAAAGGCGCGGGATTACAGGCTGAGCCACCGTGCCCGGCTACTACAGGATTTCTTAACTGGTTTCTCTAGCACAACTCTTGCTGCCAGACAGTACATTTCCACAGTAGCCAAAGAGATTTATAAAGTACAAATCAAATCATGCATAACCCCTTGAGGACTTCCCACTGTAACCACAATAAAATCCAAATTCCTGGGGTTATATCCTGTGAAACCCTCCATGACTTGGCCCGTGCCTGCATCTACACCCTGGTTTTCATCTCTGTCCCTCGTTCACAGCATCCTTCTGCCATGCTAGCCTTCTTGTGCCCTCTTGAACTTGCTGAGCTTGTCCAAGCATGTTCTCTTCCCAGGGACTGTGCGTGTTTGTGCCGCTGCTTCCGTGTGAATGCTCTTCCTGCATCTTTACCTACTGGCCCCATTCCCATCATTCATGTTTCAACTCGTGTGTCAGCCGCCTCATGGCATTATCTGTACCTGGAACTATCTTATTTCCTCATGTGTTTATTGTCTATGTCCCCTCATTAGCTTGTTAGTTCATGGAGATAAAGTAATTTCTTTTATTCATTTCTGAACCACCCCAGCACCTTGATTAGTACCTGCCACAAGTAGGCACCAACTGACTGACAAATTTGGCATACAGTATGTGAAGTCGATTTGTACTAATTTGTTGTAATTTGTAAGCTTAAAATTGTTATGTACCTTCTAGACCTACTATTGTACACAGATTCTTAATTAAAGCAACGATAGAAGAAAGAATGCAGGCAATGCTGAAAACTGCTGAGAGGAGGTGGGTAACAGTTTCCTACGAATAGGTGGGGGAACATCTTGTTTATTTAAGTTTGTGTATGTGTTTGGAACTTCTTCACTTAGATGACAACAAAAGACCTAAGCACAAATACTTTTTAAAATTAAGTCATGACGTTTTACCCATTCAGTATTTCCCGATTAATGCTCTAGACATTCTGCGTTTGAATTAATGTATTAATAGATTATAGCATGTACAGATATTTAGACTATCTTATATTTCTTTTTCACATTGCATCACTTTTTAAATGAAATATAGCTTTATACCTGACTTATAAGCCTTAGTCTGATGTGTAAATTAAACTTGTATTGCTGCTTCATCCATCACACTTGATAGTCACATGCAAATAGGAATATCTGGACTTTAAAACTTGGCTGGTTGATTGTGGTGTCAATTCCAAAGGCAAACCAGAAGCAGAAAGACCAGTCTTAATTTTAAAAGGTTGGCTTCAGAATTATAAAACCTTCTGGTATTTATGCCATAATGTTTTAAAAATCATTTTGAAAACAAACCAATGCCTGTCTACGTCCTTGGGAGACAGGCGGGATTGGAAGATACCCAAGGAAGAGATTATTGCCTTAGAAGGGTAAGTCACGTAACAAAGAAGCAATCTGAAATCAGAAATTTTCTTTTACTGGTGGTTTATGGGAAGGAAAGTGACTACCACAAGAACTTTTTACTTAAAACATGAAAACTTTCTGTTTCTGTTTCCTTGTGTAACAGACTTCTGTGATTTTTAAGCTTCTTTAAAACATAGCAATTAGAAGAACTTTGGAAATTCTCTTGAAACAAATTATCTTTAGGTAGTAAGACAGTAAATTGTAAAGTGAGAACCTTAGTAGCAGTTGTCAGGGTTTTTTTCCTCTGTTTTATTAAGTGTGCAGGAAAATAAAAACATTTCATGACAAAACCTGAAAGTAACATATAGAAATCTTCACTGCTTTTGACAAAATATAATCATGATCTTATCGCCTACTTTCTTCTGGGGGTTTCTTGAGGCCTGGGTACAAAAATGTAAGAACAAATATGTACGTAGTCATATATTATTACAAATATAATCACGGATTTCTTGGGCTTTCTTTCTGACTGTGTTCACTTGGAAAAACCTACAGTCACACGAACTCATCAGGGAAGCATTCGGAGGCCTCCGTCTTGACTGTGGCTGACCTGGCAGACCTATTTACCAAAGAAACAGAAGAGCTTGAGTGAACCGCTGAGCTACTCCTGATGCAATCCACAGACTTTTATGTGTTAATGACCTTTTTTAGCAGTAGAGCAAACTTCCAAGTTAAAAAAAAAACAGTAGATGTCAGTAAACACTGTTCCTAGTTGAATTAATTTGTTTCCTTTTGGGAGTGGTAATACAGTGGCCTAGTATTTATTGAGTCCTTTTCAATATACTATTTTCAAAAGATCTATAAAGATTTTTAATTTTACACTCCTAATAAAACATTTATTTTTGTTCCAAAGACTCTATATCTGATGATGCAAGGGCATTAAGAGAGGTAATGTATACTTTTCTTTTGATAAGATCAGTCATAGAGAGAGTTGGAATACAGAAAGAAAGTAAGCTAGTCTAGTTTTATATGACCTGGTATAGTCAACCAATGTAGATCTCATTTTTGCAAGGGCCTTCAGTATCTTCGCGTGATTCACCAATATCTTGTTAGTAATATTTTTCGGTAGATGGTAAATTATATTGATATCTAGTTATTTGGAGTAGGTTTAGACTATAACTGCATACATAGTAATTTTAAAGTAATATAACTTGTAACAATAAATTAATGTTAGACAGTTATTTTCTTTGCATCTGCTACTAAAAATCAAAACACTGAAAATTTTTTATATTTCATAAGTTATATCATTGTAAGCAGTTAATTCCAAATAGAATTTTTTAGTGTATTAATGTTTACCTTAAAATTATCTGCTTTCTCTACTCTTAATTTTTCTTATTACATTTTTATGTGTTTTAAAATGGATATATCTGTAAATATTGCAGTTTATATTATTTTAAGTCTTATTATAGCATGGAAATATGACAGGATCTTTTTAATCATCATGTTTGGATTCCCTTTCTTTCCTATATTCTTGTGTGACTAGACTTTAGCCAATAGAACATCTAAATGTATGATAATGTTTCTTATTCCAGTTGTTCTTTCCTTAAGGACTAGTATTTGATCTTTCAAACAATAGATTGCCATATTCACATAAGCAAATAGTTGCAAGTAATAATACCCAAATGTTTCTTCTTCTGTGAAGAATTAATGGACTTTGAAATTGCTGAATAAGGAGTAGCTTGTTGTATCCTAGCCATTTGATGTGTAATACAAATGTTCTTGTTTTCTTTTCTTTGAGCCTTCGGAGTTTTAAATGACCCTCAGGACTCATTAGCTCCTACTTAGCTACCCAGAAAACTGATAGAAACGTCCCCTGGATCACATTTGTCCGAGAGGCTTTGGTGCTTAGTTAAGGTGCATCTTCTTACTTCAGGATTATAGAGTGAAATAATTCATCTGAAGAAAACACACAATTTTTGGTGCTTATTCTTCAGTTGGAAGGAGATATGCATTGATTCTTTTATATGAAACTAAATTGAACTATTATTTTTGTAGCTCTTCACATATTATAAAGAGCTTTCCTGTACATTTACATGTTTAATTTGCCCAGCAATTCTGTGACGATGATATGATCATTACTGTGTTAAAGATCGAGAACTGAAGTTCAGGAATATTGAGAAACTTGACTTGTAGCAAGTAAACAGTGGAGCCCTGGGCCCCTGTCTCCAAATCTGATGATCTTTCACTAAGTCATATAATGCTGAGATTCAGAAGGCCCATGATTATGATTTAAATAATAAGGATATTTCAGTATTTCTTTTTATTTGTTTCCTAGTATCTCTTTCTGAACTATGTTTTAGAGAAAACAATTTGAAATGCTTCAATTTTGTAAAATATATATAAGTACACTTATCTATGTTAGAGAAAAACTGCTCTTACTCCTCTAAGATATTGATTAAATAAATATTTTAGCGGAAATTAAAATTGTGGAATTATGTAATTTCTGAGTCCCAAAACATACGACTTTTGTTTTTTTCTCTCAAAAAAAAGATGTCAAAATTGCTAATACTACAGAATTCCATATTTTATATACATTTGCTATTTCTTCAAAACAATTGAGATAGTTCTTTCAATTGCTCAAAGCAAATACAGACCTAATCCCCTTCTTGGCTGTAAACAAAGAATTTTTTTAGTTTCCTTCTTCCATCATTTTATCTTCTCTGAACTGTCACTGTCCTTAGACATAGTTGATCTTAAATGGGTGCTGTGCTGATGAGGCAGTGAGAAAAATGAGATAGCCCAAATCCTTAGAATTTAAATGTGTTTGGATCTGGAGAATCATTCTCTGTTAAATTATGCCAGATGAGTTTACTAGAACTGAGAAGATATATTTACATGCAGTGGAAATTACATATACCTGATTCCATAGCCTTTTGCTTCAGACCTGGACTATGGGTTTGCTATGTATAGTGCAGCTTCAGCTTTTCTGTCTTTGTGACCTCAACAGAATGAACCATGCATGTTATTTTAGGAATTGGTCCATTTCATATCACATTAACAGCAAACAAAATCTTAACATGATAATTCAACATGTAGCCTTTCAGAAATGCAGAAATCACTTGTGCTGAATGTTTTTAGGCCTACTTCCATTAAATAAAAAGTTTTTTTCTACTTTTTATAGAATTTAGCTGAACAGAATACCACAATTATATGTCATCGCATAATTTTTAACTGGCATACAGATGTAAAAATGAAATGTCATTACAGCAGTATACTACAAACCGCATTTTAAGCCTGCCAATTCTGATAAATGAAATCTAATCTTCAATAATATTTCTTGAAAGGGAGATCAGTTAATTCTCTATTTTATAAAATTTGCTATTATAACGGTCTTCATAAACCTCTGTTACATTGTGAAACCTGCATGAATGCTTATCACATGGAAGAATTGAATATGAGCCATTTGCAAGCCCTCCCTTAGAGAAAGGCTATGTGAGTAATCAGTAAGCCTTAAGGGAGTTCAAGTCTTACAGTAGGTATGTGGTGTTGCCTCTCAGTTATAAAACAGATAGTATAACATACAGAAAAATAGCACGAGAATTTGGTAGAGACCAAAGTTGCCATGTTCAGCCTTCTGCCTTCAGACAGCCTTTCAGGGGAATGTATAGCTCATCTTCGAGGAGCAAAGACCCGCACTGTCCTTGTATCTTATCCCATTGTTTAATGCCTGACTCTCAAGACTGATTTCATTGAAACTGACTTTATTACATTGAAACCAATTCCTTCATATTGCAGCTTATACTTCTTTTCCTGCAAAATAGAAATAAAACTTAAATTGCTTCCATTATCTGTATATTGATCTTTGTACTGTTACTAAAATCAGCTACTTTTTTTTCCTCTGTCTGTCAAATAATCAGTCTCTTTTAATGTTCTTTCTTTCTAAACCACTTTATTATAAATGTCTCCCATTAGACCTGCTCTTAATGTTTCACACCCCCTTATGGAAGCTAAAAGAAGGTTGTCCAAGGACACATTTTCTTTTTTTGGTTTTTTTTTTTTTTTTTTGATTTGGAGTCTCACTCCATCATCCAGGCTGGAGTACAGTGGCAGGCTCACAGCTATCCCAGCATTGACCTGCTGGGCTCTGGCAATACTTCTGCCTCAGCTTTCCAAGTAGCCAGAGCTGTAGGCATGCACTACCAAGCCCAGCTAATTTTTTATTTATTGTAGAGATGAGGTCTCACCAAGTTGCCTGGGCTGTTCTCGAACCCACGGGTTCAGGCAATCCACTCATCTTGGCCTCCCAAAGTGCTGGGATTATAGGCTGAACTGCCGAGCCCAGCCCAAGAACACATTTTCAGCCTGTGGGATCTTTCCAGACCTGTGATTTGTGTGCCAGCACAGTTCTGATCACTGACTCTTTCAGCGCTCTAAGGAACAAATATTTATGCTCAGATTTCTTTAGAAATCTAGTTTCTCCTCACTTCACTAATTATTTATTTAAAATATACCTACTGAAATTAACTGTAGCCATTTTCTGTCAAGACTATTTAGTTTACTTTTACCACACCATATCCCTAATTCTTTAGCCAGAACTGTAAGGTACGCTATGCTCCAGGAATCCATTCTCCTGGCTTCCCATAATCCAACAAGCATCACATCAGTTATTTTTCCAGACACTTTGTAAAAATGTCCATTGGCTAAGATAAGAGCATCATTGCATGTTGATAATATTGAATGTATTTCTCCTTTGACTGTCACAGAATCTTGTCTTCCTTGGTAAATGCAAAATTGTGTTCTAAATGGGAATGTATTTGTTTTTTATCTTTATCAGAATGTTTACAAATGATTCAGCTATTAAACTGAGAAAGCATCATTGTGGAATGTTGTGTTTACCTAAAACTTCCTCAGTGCTTTTCACAGATCTCTGATTATAATCAGATTATTGCTTATAACTTACAGGTGATCATTTCTGTCCTGCACTAGGGTTTGACTTTCCAAGTTTGCTACCAGCATGAGGTGGTGCAAATAAATACACAGCACTTATGTCTTCTGAATGATGACTCAGTAAGCAGTCATCTAGTTTATACAGTGACTTATTTTTAAGGAATAATCTTTATGTATACAGCAAAAGAAGATTAGCAGTTTTCCTTAGATGGCTTTGGCTTTTCAAGCATGATAACAATCTCTACTGAGTAAACCACCTTTTAATGCTCTTTTTTTCTTTCATTATTCCTTCCTTCCTGTCTTTCAGTCTTATTTCCTCTCTAGTTTTGGAACTTTGTGTCTAGGTGTTGGAAAAAGCAGTTTATACACCATTATATAAAAAAGACACTTGTCAGACCGCTACCCAATTATTCCTAACCTGGAATCAGTGGATTTATGGGGGAAGAGAGTCCACAGATGAGCTTCAAAGGGTAAACTCTTGATATTGTGTACATTCCAGCAGCTCCCCAGAGAGAGAGTCTATATTTTTTGTCTGATTCTCAGAGGGATTTAAGGCCTAAAAAGAACCACTGTCATAGACCAGCAGCTTTCAAGTGTGGTCCTTGAAGATTCCCAAGACCCTAAGGAGTGTGAAAGGCTCTTGGATTTTTTTTTTTTTGGTCATATATGTCAACAGAAACAACACACACAACACGTTAATTAATGAAGTAGATCTATGAGAGTCTAGATGCCTTTGATTTTAAAAATTTTGGAAATCAGTTATTTTTCACTTAAAAACATGCTGACTGGGCGTGGTGGCTCATGCCTGTAGTACCAACAATTTGGGAGGCCAAGGTGAGAGGATTGCTTGAGGAGCTCAAGACCACCAGCCTAAGCAAACATAGCAAGACCTAATTTCTACAAAAAATTAGAAAATAAAAACTAAAAACATGTTAAAAGTTAACTTGTAATAGGGTTTAATATTAATGAGTTAATAAACATTTTTATATTGCTCAAATTTAATTTCTAATAAAGTAAATAGTTGTACATATAACCACAAAAGCTTTTTAGACTCTTCAATAATTTTGAGGCATATAAAGGAGTCCTGAGCCTCCAAAGTTAAAAACTGCTGTGATAACCTGTATCACCTTCTATCTCTCCTCACCATGAACAAAACAAGGAATTGGTATAAATTTTTCTAGCCAAGCTCGTAGCAAGGTGCTATATACACATTATTATTGCTCATAGTCAAGACCTGTTGAAGAAAAGAAACTACCCACAAAGCAACAGTATAGGCAGATTTGGTGGACTTTGCATAACATGGAGCTCTATTTAATTTTTCACCTTGCACTTTGGGAAAAAAAATTATAAATGGTTGAGGTTGCATATTTTTTAAAACCAAGCCTCATCTCCATATGAATAAGTAATCCAGGATGGTCTGTAATTGCTCTGTGACCACAGAAATCATTGCCACTTGTGATGGTCAGTTCTATATATCAGCTGGTTGAGGCTGTAATCCCAGTTATGCAATCAAACACTAATCTTTGTGTTGCTGAGAAAGCATTTTTGTAGATGTGATTAAACTCCATAATCAGCCCACTTTAAGAAAGGGAAATAGCCGGGCTCAGTGGCTCAGCCTGTAATCCCGCGCCTTTGGGAGGCTGAGGTGAGTGGATTGCCTGAGCCCACGGGTTCGAGACCCTCCTGGGCAGCAAGACCTCATTTCTACAATAAATCAAAAAATCAGCTGGGCGTGGTAGCGCATGCCTGTAATTCCGGCTACTTGGAAGGCTGAGGTGGAAGGATCGCCGGAGCCCAGCAGGTGAGGCTGCGTG